AATGCTGACAAGGAATATTTTATTTTCATCCCAAATGAGTTGCTTATTTATATATATCATGTGCATTATTTGGTTAATAAAAAAGAACCCCCAAAACCAAACCTGTTGCCATTGAATCAGTTCTGACTCATGATGACCCCACATGTTACAAGCCTTTCTTAAGCAGTGACGCTGGGTGGGTTCGAACCACCACTCTTTAGGTTAGTAGTTGAACACAAACTGTTTGTGCCACCTAGTTAGTTGTTGTTGTTAGTAGCCATCAGGTCAGCCCCGAACTCTTGGTGACCCCATGTGTTACAGAGTTGAACTGCTCAATAGGGTTTTCTTGGCTGTAATCTTTACGGAAGTAGATCACTAGGCTTTTCTTCCATGGTACCGCTGGGGTACTCTTAGTCATCTAGTGCTGCTGTAGCAGAAATACCACAAGTGGATTGCTTTAACAAAGAGAAATTTATTCTCTCACAGTCTAGTGGGCTACAAGTCCAAATTCAGGGCACTGGCTCCAGGGGAAGGCCTTCTCTTTCTGTCAGCTCCAGAGGAAGGTCCTTGTCATCAGTCTTCCCTTGGTCTGGGAGCATGTCAGTGCAGGAACCTCCGGTCCAAAGGACGGGCCCTGCTCCCAGCACTGCTTTTTTGGTGGTATGAGGTCCCTATGTCTCTGGGCTCACTTCTCTCCTTTGTGTCTCAAAAGAGATTGGCTTAAGACACTACCTAATCTTATAGACCTCATCAACATAACTGCCACTAATCCATCTTATTACATCATAGTGATAGAGTTTACAATCCATAGGGAAATCACATCAGATGATAAAATGGTAGACAATCATACAATACTGGGAATCATGGCCCAACCACATGGATATACACCTTTTTTGGGAGACATAATCCATGACATTCCACCCTTTGGCCCCCCAAAAATCACATCCTTGCAACATGCAGAACATATTCACCCTATCATATCGTAACAAAAGACTTAAATCAACTCCAAAATCCAAAAAAATTCCTCTTCATCTGTGAAATCTGGAATACAAGTTATCTGCTTCCAAAGGTATAATGGCAGAACAGGCACAAGCTAGACATTTCCATTACAAATGGGAGAAACTGGAGGAAAAGAAGGGATAACGGGCACCCAGCAAGTCAGCAGAACACATTACATTAGCCCTCAAGGCTTTAAAAATAATATTCTGTTCTCTGAGACCATTCACACAATAGCCTTGCCCTCCAGACTCTAGGTATTGGCCACATTCTCCGGATTCTGGGTGGAGGCCCCTGGGCCCTGGGCTTCAGCTCCGCCTTCCAGGCCCACTGGAACAGCAACCCTGCTCCCTCAGCTTTAGGCACAAAATTCTGCTAGTCCATCTGAGTGGCAACTCCACCCTTAGCAACACCAGAGGCCATGGCTCCATGCTTTGAAACCCCTGAGGTCCTGGCCATACCTTTTGAGACTGAGGCAGCTTGGCTTCCTGTGTTTCTTCTCTCTTCAGCTTTTGCTTCCTGGTTTCTTGGCCTCTCGGCTCCTAGGGCCTCACGCCTGCATCTGCCCTGCTGGGGCAAGTGTTCTAAAGCTCTGTAGCTCTACCAATAAGTTCCTGGAGGCACTCCACTCTGCCAGGAAGCCTCCTGCGCACAGGTACTCAGCTCTCTCGCTCCATGGGTGGGCTCCAGTGCTGTCTGGCGCTGGTCTCCTGGTTCTGCTGCTGCTGGTTCTCTGTTGCTGCCACTTCTCTGCTGCTGCTGGTTCTCTGTTGCTGCCACTTCTCTGCTGCTGCTGGTTCTCTGTTGCTGCCGCGCCTCTATCCATTCACAGTTTCAAAACTGCTTCCACATTTTAGGTATCTGTTAGAGCAGCACCCTACTCTCAGTACCAAATTCTGTCTTAGTCATCTATTGCCTTTAACAAAGAGAAATTTAGTCTCTCACAGTCTAATAGGCTACAAGTCCAAATTCAGGGCACTGGCCCCAGGGGAAGGCCTTCTCTCTCTGTCAGCCCCAGAGGAAGGTCCTTGTCATCAGTCTTCTCTTGGTCTGGGAGCATCTCAGCGCAGGAACCTCAGGTCCAAAGGACTTGCTCTGCTCCCGGCGCTTCTTTTTTAGTGATATGAGGTCAGTGTGTGTCTCTGCTCGCTTCTCTCTTTTGTATCTCAAAAGAGACTGGTTTAAGACCTTACCTAATTTTGTAGACCTCATCAGTATAACTGCTGCTAATCCATCTTACTACATCATAGCAATAGTTTACAACACATAGGGAAATCACATCAGATGATAAAATGGTAGACAGTCATACAATCTGGGGAATCATGGCCCAGCCAAATTGATACATATATTTTTTGAGGGACATAATTCAATCCATGACAGGCACTTAATAAATATGAATCCTGAAACATTTAATTCTGTATCTAAATACACCCACATGCCCCTTTTTAGGTGCTTTCTCTTAGATATTCTGGATAGCAGCTGTTTTGTGGGTTAACAGATTCATGACAGTAGATTTCCTTAGGGAGAGAATCTCTAGGCCTAGTCTTCCTCACGAGGACTGTTTGAGAAGGTGGATGGCTCTCCCAGATGGCCACCCTGACCTTATCTGACTCCTTGCTGGTAGAGGTTTATGGAACTTTTGTTTCTCTTCCTTGCCAGCTTAGCAGCTTGGAGCCAGGCTGGCTGAATGACACAGGCCCAAAATGGGTTGTACCATGTAAAATCTTGGTACTCCCAGTTGTCTGGTAGATCAGTTAGCCCATCACCAAATTTATGGAATGCTGCTGCTGTGTTAAGCCCTATAAGTTGTAGAGTGGAGAAAAGTGATTAAAATATTTAGTAAGGTGCCTAACATTCATTTATTCAGATTAGATATTGAGCTCCTCCTATGCACCAGGCTGTGTGCTAAGGGCTAGGGAAGTAAATATAAAATAGACCCAGTCCCCGCCCTCATGGGTCTAGTGGAGGGCACTGTCACTGCAGTGGGCAGTCAATGTATTATTGGTATTATCATTAAGGCTGTTAATGTAATAATAGTGACGTTATTAATAGAAAGACGAGTGGTTTACCTTCTTGTTGAGGTTATAAGTGAGGGGGACTTATCACATTATCATACCCAGCTGTCTGTCTACATTTCTCTAACTGCTCTTTATCAAACCAGCAGACTTTTGAGAATGAGAACTGTGTTTTTTCTCAGATGGCTGAAAGGCTCTCAGGGTAAAGGTTCATCACTCCTTTAGCTGGAGTAGAACATCATCTATTAGGTTAGGAGTTTTGACCCTGGGGGTTCTGTATTCTAAGAATAGGAGCCCTGAGCATCTTTCTGGAGCTGTAGTTTGGCATCTTGCTGGTACCAGGCCTTTCTCTTCCTGGTTTGACTTTTTATAAAGACCGCATTGTTCTTTAAGCAGGGGAATTATGGATGGGTGAAGTTTGACCAACAAGTTTTCCATTTTTTTAATAATAACTTTATTGAGATGTAATTCACATACCATGAAATTCACCCTTTTATCATACACAGTTCTTTATTTTTTTAGTTATATTCACAAAGTTGTGCAACTGTCACCACTATCTAATTTTAGAGCACTTCATTACCTCCAGAATAACTCTATCTGTTAACTCCCAGTTTCCTTCCACCTCCAGTCCACGGCAACTGCTAATCTACTTTCTGTCTCTATGGATTTACCTATTCTGGACATTTAATATAAATGGAATCATGTAATGTGTAGCGTTATGTGTCTGGCTTCTTTCATTTAGCATAATGTTTTCAAGGTTCATCCATGTTGTAACATACATCAGTACTTCATTCCTTTTTATGCCTGAATAATAGTCAGTTGTATGTATTACCACATTTCGTTTATCTGTTCATCAATTGATGGACATTTGGCTTGTTTCCATTTTTTTGGCTGTTATAAACAATGCTGCTGTTAATATCCATGTATAAGTTTTTGTGTGGACGTATGTTTTCAGTTCTCTTGGGTAGATATTTAGGAGTGAAATTACTGGGTCATATGGTAACTCTGTATTTAACTTTTTGAGGAACTGTCAAATGGTTTTCCAAAGCACCTCCACCATTTTATAGTCCCAGCAGTGGTGTATAAGGGTTGGCATTTCTCCACATTCTCACTAGCACTTGTTATTGTCTTTTTGATCATAGCCGTTGTAATGGGTGTGAAGTGGCATCTCACTGTGGTTTTGATTTGCATTTCCCTAATGACTAATGATGTTGGGCATTTTTTCATGTGCTCATTGGCTCTTTGTTTATCTTCTTTGGAGAAATATTGTTTAAATATTTTTGTCCATTTTTTAATTGAGTTATTTGTCTTGTTGAGTTGTAAGAATTCTTTACATATTCTAAATACTAGTCCCTTGTCAGATAAATGATTTACAAATATTTTCTCCCATTCTGTGGGTTGTCTTTTCACTTTCTTGATGGTGTCCTTTGGTGCACAAAAGTTTTTAATTTTGATGATGTCCAGTTTATCAGTATTTTCTTTTCTTGTGTTTGAATTTGTTAGAAACCATTGTCTAATCCAAGGTCATGAAGATTTGTTGTTGTTGTTAGGTGCCTTTGAGTCGATTTAGACTCATAGCAACCTTATGTGACAGAGTAGAACTGCCCCAGGCTGTAATCTGTATGGGAGCAGATCTACAGGTCTTTCTCCCACAGAGCCACTGGGTGGGTTCGAACTTCTAGCCTTTCTGTTAGCGGCTGAACGCTTAACCCTCTGCTATCAGGGCCCTTTCATGAAGATGTACTCCTATGTTTTCTTCTAAGATGTCTGTAATTTTAGCTCTTTCATGACCACTAAGTTCTTATATTGACCTAGGCATCAGAGATTCCTCTGAACTGTTTGCTAGGGGTAGAGAGTGGGGTGGGGGTTGTTGTCCTAGGGCTCCCTTTCCTTGCCACCTTGATGAGCCAATCGAGGACCCTGATCCTGGGAAGCACTGGTTCCTAAGTGTTTCTAGCTATTTTGAAGTTTCTATGTCTCATTTCATTGTCTCTCTCTCTTTTTGATAAGGTAACAAATGAAGAGGACTTTATTAGGAAATTGGACTGCAAACCTGATCAGCATCTGAAGGTGGTTTCCATTTTTGGAAATACTGGTGATGGGAAGTCTCATACCCTCAACCACACTTTCTTTTATGGCCGTGAAGTCTTCAAAACCTCCCCTGCCCAAGAATCCTGCACTGTGGGAGTGTGGGCAGCCTATGACCCAGTCCACAAAGTAGCAGTGATAGACACGGAAGGGCTCTTAGGGGCCACGGTGAATCTAAGCCAGAGAACACGGCTGCTGCTTAAAGTCTTGGCCATCTCAGATCTGGTAATCTATCGAACTCATGCAGACCGGCTGCATAATGACCTCTTCAAGTTCCTTGGGGACGCCTCAGAAGCTTATCTGAAGCACTTCACTAAGGAGCTCAAGGCTACCACTGCCCGCTGTGGTCTGGATGTCCCCTTATCCACCCTGGGCCCTGCTGTCATCATTTTTCATGAGACTGTGCACACACAGTTGCTGGGCTCTGGTGAGTAGATGGGTCGCTGTGACACAGATTGACCTTTCTGGGAACACAGAGGTGACCACTGGGCTGCAATAGCAACTTGATGGTGGTGGATTGCCCAGAAAAATTTCTGCCCAGGCAAGCACAAGGAAGTGTTTCAAGAAGGATGAAGTGATCAGCCATATGAAAATCTGCTTATAGGTCAAGCAGGATAAGGATTGAGAGGTGGCAATTTGCTTTGGCAATTGGCTTTGGCAACACAGAGGTCATTGGGGATCTAGATAAGAGCTATTTCACTGGTATAGTGGGGATGAAAATCTGATCGGAGTGGTATCTAGAAAGAATAGAAGGAGAATTAGAGACAATGAGTGTATTCAACTCTTTCAGAGAGCTCTGTGTAAACAGCAGAAAATTGAAACAGTAACTAGAGGGACATGTGGAATTTGAAAGAATTTTCTTTTTAAAAAATTTAAGTATTTGTTTACTGATGGGAATGATTCATTAGAGAAGGGACAATTGCTGATGCAAGAAGAGAGAGAGAGCAGAAACAACTGGAGTGATGCACAAGTGGAAAGGCTGGCCTTAAGAGCATGGACAGTTCATCCACAGTAACAGGAGAGAGGGTGGAATATATGGGCACAGTTGCAGGTAAGAAGCTAGATGTGGTGTGGTGTGGTGTGTATGTGTGTGTGTGTGTGAAAGTTCTTGTCTTATTTTTTATATTTTCTTAAATAAGTAGGAAGTGAGATCATCACCTGAGTATGGGAGGTTGAGGGAGGAGGAGTAACAGCAGTAATTGGATGCAAGGTGGGTAGTAGTATTGGCGCCTAAAACAGTTTCAGTGTTTACTTGTTCATTCAGTCAGCAGAGGTTACTGAGTGCACAGTGTCATGTGCTGACCTCTGGAGCACAGAGCTGAGAAAAACAATTTGCACCCTCTAATAGCTCATAGTCTAAGTGGGAAGTCCAGGAGGTGTTCTGTTCTGTGGTAGATGTAGGCACTGGAGCTGTGGGAGTGTAGAGCATGTAGGAAAGAAGAAGTGAAATTTGAACTTTGAAAGACCTAGTAGATAGAAGAGGGAAGGAAACATGTTCTATGAAGAGCAAACACCTAATGGATTAAGTTGTGCTCAGGGAACTGTAGGTAGTTCTACAATTGTTCTTAGTTGCTATTGAGTCGATTCCAACTCATGGCAACCCCATGTGTGCAGAGTAGAACTGCTCCATAGGGTTTTCGAGGCTGTGACCTTTTGGAAACAGATTGCCAGGCTTGTCTTCTGAGGCATCACTGAGTGGGTTTGAACTGCCAACCTTTTGGCTAGTAGTCGAGTGCTTAATTTTTTGTGCCACCCAGGGACCCTAGTTCTATAGTAGCTTCCTAAATTACATTCTTGCCTCCTTCAGGCTGTTCTCCTCACAGCATCCAGAGTGATCTTTTTAAAAGTTTATAATTCAGATCATGTCACACTTCTGCCATCACATACCTGTCAATGGCTTTCCACTATATTCAAAATACAATTCAAACTCCTAAATATGGTATATTCACTCTGAGTCCTACCTATGTCTCTAACCTTCTTCTTAGTCCTCTTCCACATTGTCTAATTATCCTTTCCCACCACTGAACAGCACACACACAAATACACACACACATACCACACATTTGTGTGTGTATGTTCATTCTCTCTACTAGCTATACCTGTCTGTTCTCTGGTAGCCTTTGCATATGCTACTCTTCCCCTAGTTATCCAGGCATTTTTCAGATTCCGCTCAACTGTCACCCATGAAACTTTTCCTGACTATCCTCTGTAAAGTGGCCCCTCCTACACCCTAGTGGTTATACTCTCATTACATTGTCCTGTTTATTTCCATCATGGCATCTATCACTATTTGAAATCATCTTGTATGTTTGCTTACTCGTTTTTGGTCTTTTCCCATTAGAATGGAAACCCCATGAAGGCAGTAACCTTGCCTGTCTTATTCACTGCTGTATCTAAAGAGCCTGGATCAGTGATTGACACACAGTAGGATGTCATCGAATGTTTGGTGAACAAATAAATGATGAGGCTCAGTGTATCTGAAGCATAAATTATACGGGAGGGAGTGGTGGAGATACTCAGGGATTAGATAATGGATGGCCTTGACTCATTCTGAAGTATGATCAGAGCCCATGAAGGATTTAAGCAGGGAGTTATATGATCACATCTATATTTGTAAAAGATCACCCTGGCAGCCTGTGGTAGAATGAATTAGAGGGGCATGCTTGGAGGCAGGGGGACCAGTCAGGAGGTTATCATGGTACTCAAGTGAGAAGTGATGGGGACTAAGCCAGGGCAGTGGTGGTTGGAGGGTAGAGGACAGTGGGGCAATATTAGGAGGCAGAATCTGAAGGAGCCTGGGACCAGTTGATTCCTGGTGGTACCAATGACTCATGACATATAGGAAGATAAGAAATCCAAATGTTCCAGAATGGAGATTTGGTAATAGAAGAACCTCTGTTAGTTGGGGAACTGGAGCTAGAAGAGACTCATTAGAAAATGACTATGGAATAAGGAGAGATGGTGAGAAATGCTGCCTTTAGGATGCCTTCTGTGATCAATACATTGATAACCACGTTTGATCTTTACAACTTTGGTGAGAGGAAGGTTTAATTGCCAGTTCAGGATTTTGAAATAACCATCCACCCTAAAATTATTTTTTTGGTTTGTGCCAGCACTATGCTAGGTGGTTTTTAGAAATGCTAACATAATGTATCTTTACAGTAATTCAGCCCAGTCAATATCAGCCTCATTTTACAGTTAAAGAAATTGAATTTAACTTAAGTTACGTAGCCAAGGAGATTCCAGCTAGTAAGTTGCAAAATTGGGATTCAAAACCAAGTCCTCTGACTCCTAAATCCAGAGCTGTTTCTAGAATATTGTTGCTGCTTCTTAAAACCTTGAGGTGGAACCAAGGCAGACAGATTTTCTACAGGGTAGAAGGAGAGGTGCCAGAATTATGGACAAATTGATTAGATTTTCTGTCTCAAAATTGCTGACTTTCTGCCCCCCCACCCCCCCTTCTAGATGGAGGTTTCCTAGGTGGGAGTTAATAGGCAAATGAATTATCCCTATTTTTTTCAAATAAGTAGAACCAACTCATTTGGGAGCAGTGATTATATGTCCAGGGACAAGCTGCGAGGTGATGTTGGGAGGAAGTGAAGGTGACCAGTCTGGGCTCCTACGTGGTTTTAGGAGAAATCACTGCCAGATGGACCATCCCCAGGGCACTGCTTGTTACTTCTTTGAGAAGTTAACTGCCATGGGAAAAGTTCACGAGGAGATGGGTTTAGGGAATAGCTGCAGACTTGTGGCTACTTCTCTTTGATGATTATACTTTCAAATTTAGGGCTAAAGCCATACCTTCTATGTTAATTGGAGTTTTTTTTGTTGTTGTTGTTAAAATAATAAAGGAAATTAAAAGATCTTTCCAACTTTTGCATCCAAAACATCTTTTGAGTCCACCTATTGAGTACTACCACTGTCCAAATTTCTGGACAAATGTTGGTGAAACTGTGGACAAGCTAATACCTCATGTGTTGGTAGTTTTGCCACAGTTTCATCAGCCACGAGACGAGAATTTTCAAAGTAGCTGTAAATTTTAAGTGTTCATTAGTAGGTAACTGGTTAAATATGTCCTCAGGGTGGAATACTATGTAGCTGTTAAAAAGAATAAGGCACTTCTCAGAATATATCATGACAAGGACAGATACAGTCTTTTATTGAGTAATAAAAGCAAATTGCATATATATGTTATTAAGTGTGTGAACGAAAAAAGTCTGAAAGGGTGAATACTGAGCTATAGGTACCTTTGGGAAGTAGGAGGGAATGGAGAACATAACATCTCTTTCCTTTTATGCTTGGTATTGTTTTTTTTTACAATGAGCAGATTATTTTTTAGGCTCTTAATTGAAGTATAGATTTGAAGCATACGTATAGAAAAGTGCATATTATCAGAAGGGTATAGCTTTAGAAAAAACATTTTGATGGTTCCACAAAAAGTTTGAATTATCATATGACCCAGCAATTCCACTCCTGGGTATGTACCCAAAAGAATTGAAAACACATATTCAAACAAATACTTGTACACGAATGTTCATAGCAGCATTCTTAACAATAACCAGAAGGTAGAAACAACCTAAACATCTATGAACAGATGTGATATATCCATACGAGGGAATATTACTCAGCCATAAAAAGAAAGGAAGTACTGATACATGCTACAATGTGGATGAACCTCAAAAACATTTTGCTAAGTGAAAAAAGTGAAAGAAGCCAGACACATATGATTCCATTTATATGAAATATCCAGAATAGGTAAATCCATAGAGATGGAAAGCAGATTAGTGATTGCCAGGGGCAACAGGGAGGGGAAAATGGGGAATGACTGCTAATAGGTACTGAAGTTTCTTTTGGGGTGATAAAAATGTTTTGGAACTAGAAAGAGGTGATGGTTGTACAACATTGTGAATGTACTAAATGCCGCTGAAGTGTACATTTTAAAATAGTTTTATGTTACGTGAATTTCACCTCAATTAAAAAAATTGTACAGCTCGATGAATTTTTCTCTACTTGAACACACCCGTGTAATCAGTACCAAATCAAGAAGCACTAGCACCCGCCTCATACAGGTCCTCCTCATGCTTCCTTCTGGACAAGGGTAACCTGAATTCTAACAGCATAGATTAGTTCTGCCTGTTTATGTACTTTATATATAAGGAGTCAGACTACGTATTACTTTTATAATGAAAGGTAACTTTAAAAAAAAAAAAGTCACTACTCATGTGCCTCAATTTTTGCTTATACAGATCATCCCTCAGAGGTGCCAGAGAAGCTCATCCAGGACCGGTTCCGGAAGCTGGGCCGCTTCCCTGAAGCCTTTAGTTCCATTCACTACAAGGGAACAAGGACTTACAACCCTCCCACAGACTTCTCTGGGCTCCGACGTGCTTTGGAGCAGCAACTAGAGAACAACACCACCCGTTCTCCCCGGCACCCAGGGGTCATCTTCAAAGCTTTGAAGGTCAGTTGGCTCCTTCCCTGAGTGCTTCTTGTTGGGATACCAGTGGGTGGTGAGAACACTCTGTTCTCCAGCATTTTTTGGTTCTGGTGATTGGAAATCTGGACTGGACAGAGAGGTTGTAAGAAAAGGGGGCTCATGAGTGGAGTTTGCACCTGTCAAATGCCCTCATCTCGCTAGGAGTATGAGTACTAAGGAATCTTGGGTGATAATTAAAAAGTGAAGGCTTTTCATCTTGGAGAAGAGTTAGGCTTTTGGGGAGTAGGAAAAAGCCTTCATTCCTGGGTGGTGTGGCCCAGCTCTGGTGAGTTGACCTCGTATTGAAGGTCTGTCGTGTGGACAGCCTTGGTGCTTTTCTTTACATCGACTCATCTTCTATTTTTTTTTACTTAAGTTTCTTTAAGAAGGAAACTTTCTGTTATCACTATACATGGGAAACTAGTATTGCAGATAGAAAATGAACCAAACCAAAAAACAAAAACAAAAATAACAGTAATAACTGCTGTTTGTTTTTTATGTACCAAAGTTCTGAGCACTATGCATGGATTAGTTAATTTAATCCTTACACCAACTCCATGAGTTAAGTACTATTTTTTTAAGTACTATTATTATTTTCATTTTGCACATGAAGAAACTGAGGCACAGAGAAGTGAAGTAATTGGTTACACACAATTAGTAAGTGACAGTAGGCACAAACCCAGGCCATTGTACTCTAGAGTTCACTCTCACAATCAGAAAGACTGTTGGTCATGAAGCTTCTGATACTTTGGCCTGTTTTTTCTTTATTTCAAAGGGAGATCAGCAGGTGTTCTGATTAGCAAGTGATAAAGAAATACTGTCACCTGAGACTTTCCTCATTGAAAGAAACTGAACTTTTGAAAAAGATTTGAAAAGGGACTAATTTATTTTTTTTAATGTTATTTTGTTGTTCTCATTGAGAATATATATATAGCAAAACATAAACCAATTCAGCAGTCTCTACATGTACAATTCAGTGACATTGATTACATTCTTGGAGTTGTGCAGCCATTCTCTCTCTCCTTTCTGAGTTGTCCCACCTCTGTTAACATAAACTCACTGCCCCTGAAGGTTCCTATCTCATCTTTCAAGTTGCTGTTGCTACTTTGATTCATTATAGATAATTCTTAAAAGAGCATAATGCTCAAGGCAGACATTTTTTAGTAGTTAAGCTAAACTACTGTTTGATTTTAGGAAGACTTCAGGGGATTTTTTTGTTTTAAGTTCTGAAGATTCTCTCAGGGCAGTAGTTTCAGGGGTTCACCCAGCCCTCATGGCTCTAGAAAGTCTAGATTCCATGAGAATTTGAAATTCTATTCTTCATTTCCCCTCTTTTCATCAGGATTCTTCTATAGAATCTTTGATAAAAAATGTTCAGTAATGGTGGGACTAATTTCTATTGTGGATTTTGATGTTACTCAGTGTCTTGTCCATGTATCACCTACTATCATGTCGTGTTCCACCTAAAATCCACCTTACATACCACTAGTGATATGAAACTAATTTTTTGGGAAACTCCTTTTAAAGCAAATTGTTTTTCTTGTGTATCGCAGCAATAGTGTCAACGTGTTGATTCTGTAATACAGTAAATCCTTGTATAAAGCACCTTGCTGTTCCATAGATTGTTTCCCTTTAGCAGACTCTGATAAATGGTGCTTGCTTCTTTGTAACACAGAGAGCTGCCACCTTTGTGGGCTGCTAGCCCTCCAGCTACATATCCTGTCTTAGCCCTCAAGGATTTCTACCAGTTGTACCACTTCTGTATTATCCCAGCCATCAATAGGCAAGCAATCACTGAAACAGTAGCAGTGGGAGGAATGGAATAGGATACTTTGAACACTGTGACTTGAGGTATTAGTGATTATTGGAAATTCCATTTTAGAGTTGGTTAGGTAGTTGCAATGAAATTTGGATATCTTTTCATACATGCATTCGTCAAAGTATTCTCTGAGCCCAGTAAAGCTGGCAAAAAGTTTTCCCAAAAGAAATTTAAAAGTTGTTGATCAATATCATTATAGGAATAAGAATTCTAATTTTGGGACTGTTTGCTCAATGATCAGTTTATATTGCATTTGTCTAAATTCATGTTCTCTGGTTTACATAAGTAATACATAGTGTAGAAAATGTGAGTACTGCAGTAGATTATAATGACAAAAACAAAGACCGTCTGTAAATCCCGCCACCTAGAGATAACTACTGTTAACATTATAGTGTATGCCCTCACAGTATGTGTCCTGTGCATTAAAAAAATAGATATATAGGTTTCATAATGTTATAGATGAAAATTTGTAATCCTTTTCCCAGTTAACATCATAAACACTTTACTATATCATTATATGATCTTTATAAATAATTTTGAGAGCTGCTAAATGTTTGATTGTCCAAATGTACCAAAATAACAATTGTTGAACAAGAGATTGTAAATTTTCCGTATTATAAGTAACACCAAACTAAACATCATAAAAGCTCTTTCTATATTTGGAATTATTTTTCCTAGGTTATATTGCCTCAAAGTAGAATTACTATGTCATGACGGTATGCCTGTCTGTCTATCTGTATTTTAACAGTGAGCATCGATCACATTTCCATCATTTCACATAGTTGGATATGTAATCCTATTTAAGCATTTTTGCATTTTTGGTGTCTTTTTTCTATTTTGCCTATTTTTAGTATTTCAAGAATTCTACTTTAACATAATCTCTTGTCTTTAATTTATCGTTCCTCATAATGAAGTCACCAAATGGATCCCCTGAGAATCCTGCTTCCTTTTTGCAGTTTGCTTTGTGCACTCCTTTGTGCTACCATGCCTCAGACCTTGCAGGCCTGGTGAAGAGGGGCAGGAAGGGAGCAGGGCCTATGGGTGGTGCCTCTGGGGGATCCTGAGGGAAGGACAGAGGGGGTACTGAGGAGTAGACACAAGAAGATTGGAACTAGGAATGAGGATGTCCAGTGGGGTAGGGGCTAAAGATTTAGAACTGGGAGTGATGGGAAGAAAGAGATAAGAGAAGGGGGTTTGGCATAAAGCTAGGCAGGCCCTATACACAGGAACAAACTTCAAGTATCTGCTGATGCGCTCAATCAATCTGTTGCATTTAAAAGGCTTACAGTGGGGCAAAATGTTCAACAATTAGTGAATCTGGGTAAATTGTATATGACAGTTCCTTGTACTATCCTTCCAAACTTTTCTATAAGTTTGAAATTGTATCAAAGTGAAAAGTTACCCCCCCAACTCTCCCCCCAAAAAAAAAAGTTTGAGGGTTTTTGCTTCGTGATTAAAAGCTTGGGTTCTGAAGTCAGACTTGTGTTGGAATCCCAGCTTTACCACTTACCAGCTCCATGACCTTGGGAAATTCCTTTGTTTGTTCCTTCGTTCATTCATTCATTCAACAAATAAATGAGTGTCCCTATGTGCCAAGTAGTGTTTGAAGTGCTGAGAATACTGTGGTGAACAGGATAGAAAAAATTTCTGCCCTTATAGTACTTCCTCTTCAGACCTCTTTTCTCATCTGTAAAGTAAAATCTTCCTAACGAGATTGAGATGAGGATTAAATGAGAACATAACTGAAGAAACAAAATACTTGGCATATAGTAGATGTTCAATAAATGTAAACTATTGTGAATATTTAAAAAAGACTGAGAAAAGGATTATATTTAGATAATACATTAAGTACTATACATTTGATGATTTCTTTTTTCTAATTAGAACTTGACATTAAACTATCCTCAGATGTATTGGTTAATGTCCTTGTAATGGGTCAGAGGCAGTCAGAGTGGAAGATAACTCCAAAGTAATGCAAACATGTTCAAAAGAGGCTGAAACTATACTACGGCATGTTGTTGTTGTATGCTGTCGAGTTGATTCCAACTCATAGTGACCCTATACGACAGAGTAGAACTGCCCCATAGGGTTTCTTAGACTGTAATCTTTACGGGAACAGATTACCAGGTCTTTTCTTCCGTGGAGCTGCTGGTGGGTTTGAACCGCTGAACTTTTGGTTAGCAGCGGAGCCCTTTGACCACTGCGCCATCAGGAATCTTCTATGGCTTGTAAAGGGCTGTGAATCTGATCAATATGAATTGTAAGGCAAATGGGCCTGTGGCTGGATGATAGCAGTTCCTTAGCTCTTTTGAAACAAACCCAGCTGAGAGGGATGCTGAGAGCTGTAAGCAGTAATTAGTGCTCAGGGATTTTACCCTCAGGAGTCTGTCTTGGATCTTCTACCCCAGACCAGTTTGTTAGGCGCTGTTGAGAAAAACAGTTACACAGCTTTCTTAAGAGGTGCTATGTTCCAGGAAGCTCTCTGTGATTAAAACAAGCGTGGTCAACTGGAGTTCTGATGACTCTTGGTAACCAGTGTCCCCAGAATTTCACCTGGACCCCTGGACCTGGTATCCTCTGTTCTCTGAGGTTGAGAGTGTGTTTACGGAGATGTGGGACCCTCTGTCCAGGAGAAGAGTAATCTGTTTAAGCATGTGGTTCAGGCTGTCTCCAGTCAGTTATGGGATTCTTGCAGTTTACCCAAATCCTTGAAAAAACAGTTTTGTTTTGTTTTAACTCCTTTCTTTAAATTAGACGCAGTTAGTTCTCTTTCTACTCTAATAGAAAGCAACCTTTAAAGTTTGCATTAGGCAAATTGACCAAGCAGCATTTTATTGCTATTAAAATAGATCCCTAACTGAAATCTTCATAGTTCACAGCAGCGTGTAATACAATGGCTGTCTGCTCATCTCTGTGTCTTTTTCATTTCGTTTTATGTTGCTGTATTTATTTTTGTAAGTAACCTTGAATCCTTTTTGGAACAAGAGAGTGAGTGTGGGCATAAAGAGATAAATTATCAATGCCAAAATCACTTGTTTGGCTTTCTGTTTTCTCCCGTTTTTATAAAAAAATTCTCTCCTTGATATCTTCTGCCCCTTCTTGTGCCTCACTAACTCACTGAGTAAAAACTTTGAGAAGGCTCACATTATGTTTTAATAGGATTTAT